GAAGCTTGGCAATCCTTCCCTGTCCTCTCAAAACCCTGGAATTTTGCTATTGATGAATTAAACCTAAAGGACTAGTTCTGCAAATGCCAGTTACTATAACAGGCAGGGGATATATTCCTGTTCAGGGAATATTTTCAACATAGTGAACTTAGTAGATTATTATCAGCCCAGTCACTTCTTTATTTTATATATTCATAAGGCCAACTTTTGCCTGAAAGGGACTGATTTGGTTTCGTTTCTTTGAGAAGGCAATTGTCTACTGGAAGAACCAGAAAACATGGTTTTTATTCTTTGCCTCAATGTACCATCTGCATTTGACTATTTTGCCCCTTGAGTTATTAAGCATTTTAAGAAAATGACAAATAAACAGAAGACTTTCCTTTCCAAAAGCAGAACAACAGTCTCAAAAATTAGCTGATAACATATACAAGTTTCATTTCCATTTTCACTGGCTCATAAATAAACCAAGTGAACCAATTCAAAAGTATTATAATATTTCCAAACATTTTAATTTTTAAGCACTATCTTCAATTAAGGCCAGGTTGGTCTTAACTCCATATTAAATACTGCAGAATTTCTTCCATTTCACTAGTGGTAATGCTCAATACTGACCCCACTCCCCAACCCTCTTGTTTTCCACCAGGGAGATTCTGGAAGCCCTTTGTTGTGCGGGGGTGTTTTCCGAGGTGTCACTTCCTTTGGCCCTGTGAAATGTGGACACCCTCAAAGGCCTGGTGTCTATATTCTTCTCTCACAGAAATATCTCAACTGGATAATTGGGACTATCAAGGGGGCAGTTTAAATGACTGTTTCATTTCATTTACTGTGGCTTCTTAATCTTTTCGCAAATAAAATCAATTTGCATGACCGTACCTGTCTCTCTCCTGTAACCTTAGTGGGCAGATCTGCACCAGAAAAGTGAAGCAGAGTTACATGGCAACCTTGTAGATAATGCAAGGGGGAGGGATTATGATTAGTGTCACAAGAGTCATTTGTGTGTCAAGTGACATGGGAATGCTTCCTGAATTATTCATCTCATTATCTCAGTGGAATCCTGCAAGAATGACCCCCTAAGATCAGATCTAATAACAAATGCAGTAAAGGGCAACAGAAACAGCCAGTCTGGAACATTTGTGTTAAAAGGAAATATAGGGCTCCACATTAGCACCTGCATTTCATGTTATACACAAGAACCTGAGTCTATGGGACAAAAAGCAACAAGCAATGCCTTACATTATTTTCCAAATTCTAGGGCATACATATAATTTTCTTGGGCAGTCAAGAAAATTATACAATAGAAAGTCAGCCTTCTTTCTCAGTGCCTGCATTTAAGCCTTGGATTACCTATGTGATTTCTCAGTTCTCTTTGTTCTTGAGACTGGGTAGATCCAATCAACACGGTGGTTACAGTGGCTGCCATCCCATAGTAGGGAGTAAATGTTGACTTGTGTCCAGAAAGTTTTCTTTGGAAAAAGCCCTCATAGTATCTTTTCTACATGAATTTGGTAGATAGTTATCAGCCTGCAATCACTTCAAGATGTGATAATGTGAACAAATTCTTTCAATTTCTATAGTCCCTTTAGTAATATAAATTTTATATATGTATATTATTTATTATACAATACAAATTTCAATATATACATATATTACATATGTATATATATGCATACACACACACACATATATACACATATACACGCACATATATACATGCATAATACATATTCAAACCAATAACATACAGCAACACTAGAAGACAGGTTCTTAAAACAAAGTAAGGAGCATAGCTTAAAGACTGGCTAAAATAATAGTCCATTGGTTTTCAACCATGCTAGTTCATTAGGCTCACCAAGCTCTTTAAAATTATCAATGCCCAGGTCCCACCTCTAGAGATCCGGATTTAATTGTCATTTGGTGGGACCCACGATGTGGTATTCTTTATATGAGTTCCCCCAATGATTTCATATGCAGCCAGGGATAAGAACCCTTATTCTAGAAAAGGAGACCTGGTGCAACTACATAAAAAGAGGCTCTGAGACAGTAACTACAATAGTATTTTAAATACTTGCTACAATCCCTCATTGTTAGTTCAGATTTTAACTGCAAAAAGGATGGACTATTCCCTACCGTCAATATGTATTACAGATTTTCAACTCTGTTTAAAAAGTGGTTGTATGGAACCCTCATTGATTGCTGGTAGAAGTGTAAACTAGTACAACTTCATAGGAAAATTGGCAGTGTCTATTAAAACTCAACATGTATATAAACCTATGACCCAGAAATTCCACTCCTGGGTAGATCCGAAACAGATATGAGCACTTTTATCCATTAAAGATATGTTCGGAAATGGACATAACAGTTTTATTTTTGGAACTCAAAACTAGAAATAACTCAAATATCCACACAATAAAATGGATAAACAACTGTTATGCAGTCATACAATAAAATATTACATAGTAATGAAAAAAGAACTACTTCAGTTAGATGCAACACAAATTTAATGTTGAGGAAAAGTGAGATAAAAAAGAATATGCATGATGTGATTCCATTTATCTGAAAGTTAGCATATGGAAAAACTAATCCACTGAGATAGCAGTCAGAGGAATGTAGACCTGAGCAGGGCGCGGTGGCTCACACCTGTAATCCCAGCACTTTAGGAGTCCGAGGTAGGTGGATCACGAGGTCAGGAGTTCGAGACCAGCCTAAACAATAAGGTGAAGCCCCCATCTCTACTAAAACTACAAAAAATTAGCCGGTGGCATGCCTGTAATCCCAGCTACTCAGGAAGCTGAGGCAGGAGAATTAGGAGAATTGATTGAACCTAGGAGGCGGAGGTTGCAGTGAGCCGAGATTGTGCCACTGCACTTTAGCCTGGGTGATAGAGCAAGGCTCCATCTCAAAAAAAAAAAAAAAAAAAAGAAAGAAAAAGAAAAATGTAGACCTGCTAAGTAGAAGTAGGCACAAGGAATCCCTTTAGGTACTAAAGATGTTCATATCTTGATCTAGATGGTGGTTACACAGTTATTTATTCATAAATTTAAAACTCATCAAGCTATAAACTTAAGACTTATGTGCTTTACTATATGTGAATTATTACTCAAAAAATTTTTTAATTATAAAATTTAAAAATAAGTTGTAGCCCAGGCTTTTGTTTTGTATGTTACCTGAAAGCTTACCTTTTTCTTTATGAAAACCATATTCCAAACTTTCCAACAAATCTAATCGTAGTAACAGATATATTAATATTTTTCTTAAATGAGAGCCTCTTGCTCACATGCCAGTATTAATTGAGAGAAGTGGCCTTTGGTCATGACACAGTGTCATGAGAATATTAAAACAGAAGTATCCAGAACAGAATGACATGGGACACTGGAAATGATCTAATCATTTCGCTCATTTTCTTCTAAATATTTTCTTACAGTTTATGCCTGGCTTATTAAGAAGATCAAATTAAAACCATTAAAGAAGAGTGTGCATTGCAGAAAAGTATCACATCTGTGGCTTTCAGTGGCCTAAAATTTTCTAAGGCAAGAATTACTAACATTACCAAACAGATCTAAATTTTAAAAACAGAGAAAATTTAAAAATATATTGACAAATTAACACCAACTTAACAGAAGAGTCCAAAACTGCCCTGGTACATACTAGTCTATGTTTGAATTCTCAAAATTTTTGTTTTGTTGTATCAATTTTGGGGGCATAGGGAGTGGTTATGTACTAGTTTAAAAAAAAATCATGTCAAAGGAAAAAAAAATAATCAACTAATATTTGTTATCTGGCATATGCAGAACATTCTAAAGAGCACCAAAAAGTACAACACATGCTCCCTCAAGCCCTCAATTTTAACTCCTCAGGATGTTAAAACCAAAATAACCAAAGATTCAAATAGTAATAAAAGATTTTTTTAAACAACTATAATAGTTTAATAATACTAAATAGATGACATAGACAAATGCCAAGAACTCAAACCCAGGTAACATCATTTTGAAACACTTCCTTGGAGAGGTTAGGACTTGTGTAGGTGTGTAAAGGAAAAGGAGAGAGAAGCAAGGATTCAGATGAGAAGAAAAGCTCCAATGAGGCAAGAAATCACAAGACTCAGCCAAAGTCTTCATATAGTGATCAGTTCGAAGGAACCTTAGCAGTGATCAGATCCAAATTCCTATCTTTGCAGACGCTGCAACACATCCAAGGTTACAGGGTATATTTATGGCAGAGCGAAGGCAAGAACAGGTCTCCTAACTTCAGGTCCTGGGCTCTGGACTCCAGAAGCCAAAGGTGTTGTTTGGTAACAGGGTGTCAATGAGAGCTTATGAGCAAGGGACTAAGAGGATCATGCAGGACTTTAAGATATTTAATCTAGCAGTGGTGTGGAGTCAGGAGGAGAGTCAAGAGAATCAGCTCTAAGCAGACTGGCTGTCAGGCACTCAGGATGTGACTAAGTGAAGCAAAAGAAGAAAGTGCAAAGGGTGAACTGAGGAAGCACAGAGCAGAATAATCAGGAGGATCCCTCAGTGGGGTACCAGGACAAGGATGAGACCATCAGGAAGGGAAAGGAATTCCTAGAGAACTGATTTTTAGAGAAAGTAATATGCATGCTTAACATACCACCTAGCATACAGTGAGATTTTAATAAATGTTTTTTAAGGGAACGAGTTGTGTTTTCAATGTGTTGAGATTAAGCTAAAAAGAGGAAAGAATGTCAAAAGGCAACTATCCCGAGGCAATCAGAAATATGAGGTTTGGAGCTGGGGAGAAAAGTCACATGGGAAAGAAGTAGAAATCTTTGCTGTAGGTGTTATTTTGAATAAAGTAGTGAAAATGAATCTCTAGAAAGGGGTAAGAAGGGGAGGAAGGGAGCAGAAAGAGGAAAGCAGAGAAGAAAAGAAGTCAATCTCTGCGAAGCAGAGCAAATAAAGCAATCTAAGAAAGAAGAACAGAGAATAGGCATTCACATCAAGAAGAATATTTCAACTTGTTTGATACTCATAAAAACCCCATGGAGAAGGCATGGCCAACATCATCATCTTCACTTAGAAATGAGGAAACTGAAATCTAGAGGGGCTGGGTGCTAGCAGCAACTCCATACAGAGGCCGTCCCATCAGCTGCAGCAGAAAACACCCGGGTCTGGTCTGGACTCAAAGCCAGGTGCAGCACTCTGCCCCTGTGGCCTGGGGGGAAAAGGAAAGACAGTTCATACTCCATGTTACGTGGACTGCTGCTCAGGACTGCAGGCAATGTAAGGTGGGACCATGAGTCCCATCTCAGGATAAAGGACTTTCCTATACCCACCAGGTTCAGAGCTGGCACCAACTGAGCCATGCTGGGAGACAGCAGTCAGGGCTGACTGGGACAGTTTTCTCCCTCAGTGCTCTTGCCCCTGTATCAGTGTCCTGTGGCTGCCATAACAAATTACCACCAAAGGGATGGCTTAAAACAACAGAAATTGACTCTTACAATTCTGGAGATGGGAATTCTGAAACCATGGGGTCACAGGGACTGTGCTCTTGGGGGGATTCTGTGCCTTGCAGCTATTGGCAGTCCTGGATTTGTGGCCACATCACTCCAGACTCTGCCTCTGTGGCCATGTCACCTCCTCTTCTGTGTGTCTCTTCTCCTCTGTGTGTCTCTCCTCCTCTGTGTGTCTCTCACAAGGACACTTGTCATTGGATTTAGGGCCACTGGATAATCCAGGATGATTTTATGGCAAGATAATTAATGATATCTCCAAATGCAATTTTTCCAAATAGGTCCCATTCCGAGGTTCCAGAGAGTTAGCACGGATGTTCTTTAGATCATTTATCAACCTACCACACCATTCGTACTCTATACTGTTGTTAGTTCTGTCTTCTCTAATATTCCTAAGAATGCCAGTACTATGCTCCTGCCACATACCCCAGCCCTACCCCAAAAGTACCCCATTGGGGCCCAGGTTTCAATAAACTAATCAGACAAACTGAAGTAGCTTAATGAAAAGAACCCAAAAAGCTCTCCCACAGAGCATGTATGAGTCACACTTAGGAAATTCTGGAGACAATACATGTTCTTCTGTTACATGATTATTTGCCAAAGAACATTCTATGGCACAGTAGTCCTGTAGGAAGTTGGGAGGTTAATAAGTATTAAGAACAAAAAGACTGTTTTAATGTTCATAGTAATTTTGGAAGCTTCGAGTTAAGAAAGTTTAACATTTCCTTATTTCAGGATTTCTTTATTTTAGGACTAATATGAGCATTATGAATGTTTTGGAGATGATGCTATAATAGGCAGCACTTCTCAGACTTATCTGACCACAGAGTTCTTTTAATCTGAGCATCTCAAGGGACTAGTGCAAAATCTGGCCCAATCCAACAGTGATTTTAACGATCAAAACTTTAGGCCAAAAAAGGTGAAGCTGACTCTATGAAAGGAGCCTGGGGCTAGGAAAATGAGGGAGAGAAGGAGGTCGGATATGGTTTTCAGTGGGTAGGTATTTGAGGGTGCAACTGAAATAAAACTAGATGGGTGGTCACTGCTCAAAGGACCAGTGCTGCCTACAGCTCAATTGAGAGCTGGAATTTCAGAGATGATTATATATTCCGATACAAGGTTCTCAGCAGAAAGGAGTGTAAAAACACTATTCCACTCCCAAAAGAGACATATTTAAGACATTTATTCCAACTACACACATCACTCCCAACACTTTCCTGTGAGCCTGTGCATGTGCGTGATTGCGTGCACACATGTGTGTGCACACACATGCACATACCAGTAAGGGGTGTCTATAAGGGGACATGGGATTGGCCCTGGATGTGTTGGGACATAAAGAAGTTTTGATTTATAAAGACAATGCAAGCCCCTTGTTTTATAGGTGAAGGAAAATATATAGGGATACCAAATGCGTTGCCCAAGCTCACACAGCTAAGTAATGACAGAACCAAAACTAGGATCGAATTCAATGCTCTGACTATTCAGACCACATTCCAAACCCTGACTAAAGAATCTCTTTTTTTATAGAAGACCATTGTCTATTATTTAAAAAAATAATAAAACCATATAAATGAAAAGCAACTTGATTTAGTTGTTTTAAAATGATCAATATAGGAGATGGACTCTGTGGCACATGCCTGCAGTCCCAGCTACTCAGGAGGGTCACCTGAAGCAAGGTGTTGAGGCTGCAGTGCACTATGATCAAGCCTGTGAATAGTCACTGCACTCCAGCCTGGGAAACATAGCAAGATCCAGCCTCTTACAAATAAGAGGATAAATATATAATAGAACATTAATGCTTTTTAAAATTTATTTATTTTGAGACAGGGTCTCACTCTGTCACCCAGACTGGAGTGCAGTGGTGCGAACACAGCTCATTGCAGCCTCAGCCTTCTGGACTCAAGTGATCCTCCCACCTCAGCCTCTCAAATAGCTGGGACTACAGGAGTGTGACACCATGTCTGGCTGATTTTTGTATTTTTTATAGAAATGGATTCTCACCATGTTGCCCAGGCTGCACTAATGCTTTTAAATTAATAAGAAATAAAATCTATTCAATAAATATAATATGTAATAAATATGCCTTCATTATTTTGTATTATGATGAAGAAGAAATAAAAGGGAAAGGAATGACAGAAGGGCAGGAAATCCCAAATCTTTTCCAAGGCATGTACTGAAAACTATCTTGACTTAAAAATTAGCAGCGACTTCTCAAATTTGTTAGAAAAATGGCATTTGGATGGGATGCAAAGGCATTCTTGAAGCTTTTTCTCTCACATCAGTGACAATCTTAATTTACCAGATACGTAGTGGGAAATGTCATCTTTACATCTGACAAAGGTCCTTTTTAGGGTTTATTTTCCCAAGTTCTAAGAATACAGACTCTGAACGCATGAAATTGTTGTCTTCTTTCTGCAGCTATAGTCATAAATGAGACACATACTGACAATGGAATGACGAAACCAAGCCAAAGGCCAGAGCTCACCCTACCAGCTAAAAAACTACCTCCTCCTATTTTAAAGCATAAAAATTACAACTCTTTAGCAGGTGGGAATAATTATAGGTTATCTTTCTTCTGTGGTCAGGTGGGTGAGACCTATTTAACTAAAATTTTCCCCTCTCCAAAAAAAATCATGACTATGGTTAACAGGGTGAGGCTTAGTAAAGGTGTGACCAGAATCTAGAATAGTTTTGTTCCAAACTTTGTGACCACAACCCATAGCCAAAACTACATTTTATGTAGCAACCCCATATATAGGCACATATAGGTACTACATAACTACAACAAAAGTTTCACAAAATACTACCTAGTTTTCCATTTTCCCATCCTATACTATTCTAGTTCACTTTTTATTGCTGATTTTGACTCACTACATTCATACTCCAATGGTCACGACTCCCAGTTTGAAGACCCTAATCCAGATCTCAATCACCAGGTTTATGTTGAGAGCGCTGTTCTTGACCCGCAATGGAAAGATGGTCTCACAACAAAAGCCATAACAATTAAATACCTAAACAGTGGCAGGGGACACAGAAGTACTCCCTGAGTGTGCTCATGGAACAAGTACTTCAAGATGCCCCTGACAACGGATTTCCCAAATGTGTTTGGGAAACAATGAACGCTATCACCTTCTCTTGGTAATGCACAATACATTAATCTATCTAAGACTTTGGAAGGTCCTTAAGAAACAAAACACTGGCTGGGCCCAGTGGCTCATGCCTGTAATCCCAGCACTTTGGGAGGCCAAGGTGGGTGGATCACCTAAGGTCAGGAGTTCAAGACCAGCCTGGCCAACATGCGGAAACCACGTCTCTACTAAAAATACACAAAAATTAGCTGGGCATCATGGTTGGCGCCTGTAGTCCCAGCTCCTAGAGAGGCTGAGGCAGGAGAATTGCTTGAACCTGGGAGGCAGAGATTGCAGTGAGCCAAGATCGTGCCACTGAACTTCAGCCTGGGCGACAGAGTGAGACTCTGTCTCAAAAAAAAAAAGAAAGAAAGAAAAAGAAAAAAAAACAGTTCTAGTTTAACCCTGAATTTCCAAACTTACTGACCACATGACATGTTTTTTGTATGACAACTTTTTGTATACATGTTTTGTATAACTGTTAAACACTTTTGAGAAATACTGTATGTAGAAGAAACTACTGAGTTAGAGATGAAAGTAAGTGTCTAAGAGCTCAAAGGTAACTTCATCTCCAACTACAAACATTTTAAAAGAAAAGGTTAAATGCACTCTTTGAAATTCTGTCTAATATTAAACAAAAAAATCACGAGTTAAAACTAACGTACTTAGAGCTCGTAAAGCCAGAAAAACAAGGAAATACACCTGATAAGAACTTTCTTTATTCCAAGCATCAGCAAATTGATTTGAATATGCTATCACAAGCCCCAACCTAGCTGAAGGCCATACCTGTCTGCTGGAATTAATTTTGTAAAGAACCAGGTTTTAAGGCTTGATTTAAAATACTTCTCTAATCTAAAAAGGTCCAGGGAATTGCATGTCTTTTGATTAAAAATATGAGAATTGATTCATGTTCTTCCTACACTTGTATCTGAACCAAAATGGCTCTGTTAAGAGTTGCCTGTATTCTGATTTACCAGGCCACAGAGTGTGACAGCTGAATACAAAGGTCATTCTCAGGCTGAGCGGAGGTCCAGTCAGGCTGACCATCAGAGGCAGGAAGTCTATCTGATAAGGTTGTTTCACTGTTGCCAATTAACATTCTCAGAATCTCTAGAGAGTCATGTATCACCACCTAATATTGCATATATTTGTTTTCTGTTTGTCTCCTCTCACAAAAGGGTAGGCTCCCTGAGGGCAAGGACATTGTCTCTCTTGTTCATCTGTATATCCCCAGCACCCCAAAAAAGTGCCTGGCACATAATAGATGCTTCATAAATAAATAATAAATAAATAAATCCCAGGGATTGATCAGGAGGCCAGGTTGAGTGGAGAGAGGAAAACAACAGGATATATAATCAAAGTTCTACGAAAGATTGGATGCCAGTGCCCTGTTCTTGCATCAACCACGAGTTTTGTCTTCCTGTTTCCCTGGGCTGGGTAGAGGAGAGATTCTATTCACCCTTGAGTCCCCTTTAACATTCTACATTACATAAAAGAAGACTTAAGGCCCAGAGGACTGGGCTTGGTTCTTGCTCCTCGTCATGGGTACTCTCAAGAAGTACCAGTAAAAGTTTGTAGAACTAAGCTGAGAAGAATAGTGGTCTACCTTGAAAGGGCAGGTGTTCACAGAGGAAGCCTCATGGTCATTGGTGGCCTCCTGACACATAATAATGTCTTGCCCCTTCAGATCGCCTTGTCTTCCACCCATTCTAACACCGCTGGTTTTTCTTCAGAATAAGATAATTTGTGATGCTAACTCAAATTCAAAAACTGCCCAAGATCACCACTGTATCCTTCATATACATACGACTTAATTTAAACATATACATATGACTTAGAGTGATGAACAATCTTAGTTAAATTCAGAAACACTATTGCTCTCTGAGGTTGGGTAGGTGTAGGACTTTTTCCTCTGATGAAATATGTGCTTAGAAAAACCAGAAAAAGAAAATCTTTCATTCAGGGCTTTTTCCCCCAACAGCTCACTTTGCTATAGCGGCATTTTACTCACCCACTTGCTTACCAAAAAACCCACCTGACCTGGACAGAGTGGGACAGGTCCATACAGTTACATCATTCTTGGGAGTACCTTGGCCAGTTGTAATCTCCTTTGTCTTAGGTAGCCATATTAAGGAACAAATCTGTAATAATGATCAAAAGTAGAGAATTATTGTAATTTCTGATTCCTTATGAATATACTTAAAATGATTAGTCAGTATGCACTGACCATGACCCAACCTCCAGTACAGCTGGGGTAGGTGTTACAGAAATTACATCCGTTCTAGGAAAGTTTATCCCAAGGCAACAAAGGACCAAGTATACAAATAGGCTCAGGTGCAATAAATTGAAGAATTTAAGTGAACTGTTACCATTGGCCAGGAAGAGCCAGACTACTCTCAAAGTTCATGGTTAAAGCAGTGATGAGAAAGAAAGGAAATGTGGGGGGAAAACACACACACACACAAATTAAATTAACTTTGAACTCACAAATGAAGAGGTTTTTACAAAAAAAAAAGAAAAAGAAACTTGAGAACTCAAATTCCTTATGGTCTCAATAGAGAAAAAGAGCTTGTTAGGGGCCTAGGCTCTGTCATAAACTATTTTCACAAGATTCCAGAAGATCAAAATGAAGATGAAGCCCAGAGGAGACATTAACCTGTGAGTTTGTGCTTGGGGTCTGGATGCTCTTCCCAGCATTTATATCCAAGATGTGTAAGCGTCCATCCTTCATTCCTCCTCCAATGGCAAGGACCCCAGACTGCCAGGGACACCAATCCATGGCCTTTAAAGTTTCACATAATAGCACAGACAGGTCAGCTTCAAAGAAGGTGCACTCATGAATGTGATGCACTTAATTAAGCATCAAGTCCCCCAGGTCTGCACCTGTGGCAGCTCGCCTGGGCCTTCTATCCAAAGGCAGGAAAAACTGCACCCTCCAGAGATCACTCTCGGGGACTAGCAGTCACTTCTGGAAGGGAAGATATCTAATAGGACTCAAGTTATGGTAACAATTCTAGATTTTTTAACATTGACTATGCAATAGCAGTTGAAAAACCATATGAAATACATCCTATGGGGCAAAAATCTGCTGCTGGAGTAGCTCATGTGCCCTTGGAAATTGGCTCTGAAATGCAGTCTTTCTCTAATTTGTCTACCTGTGTCCAACCGGTGTCCTTACATTCAAGGTAAGAGAAGAGAGAACTATATGTGATTGCTCACAACTCAAAAGTCTCGAGCATTTCAAATCTTAAGGCAGTTCAGAAAATAAAATTGCCTTTTATTTATTTATAATTATAGTTCATGCTAAAAAACAGCATGAACTATTTATGATTTAGTATCACACATATACATTGATAATTAAAATTACTAATAACAATCACTTTAAAGGACATTTTAATAAATACTTCAGAGTTATATGTATCTGTGTATCCTTATCAATCATCTTGGTAACTACCTTCATTTTTGTATCTTCTCTTCTGCATGTAAAAGTATCTTACAAAGTAGCAAAGGTAGTGTTTACACTATTTGATTTTTCTGTTGTTTTCACCTATCATATTAACAGTTTTCCACATTTTAATATACTTTTCACAATTATATTTTTAACAGTCCCATAATATTCCATCATGTTGTATCCCGACTGATTTTTGTTCCACTAATGCTGGACCTGTGTTGGTTTTTGTTGTATTGTGGTTTGGTTTGCATTGGGTTGGGTTGAGTTTTCGGAAAGGAGTGGATTTGGAGAGCAGTGGAATTTTTTGTTTCAGTGTGTGTGTTTTATTTGTTGCTTGCTCTCATAAAGTACACTGTAATGAATAGATCCTACATGACTTTTGTTTCTGACAAATTTTTTAAGTAAATTTCAAGGTTGAGATGAGTTGACATAAAGTTTTCCAAACAGTTATAGCTTTTTACAGCACCAGCATCCAATGAGTATACTAATTTCACCCTGGCTAAAGGTTACGTGAAGTTAAAAATGTTATTCTACATCTAGCGAAATTGTAATTATAAAACAGATTATAAGGGTAATTTATTTTATTAGCAAGAACAAACTTTTTTCTGTGTATTTATGCTCCTATAGCACTTCCCACCACGTAAATTTTTTTGCCATTAAGCACCTACATCTTAATGCTTTTCTTACAAGTTTGGGTCCATTTTTTAAAAACACACTTCTGAATATACAATAGTTGCTTTCATTCTTCATTTAACCAACTTGCTAAATTTACCAAAGTTCTCCACTCCTTCTGTAAAACATATTACTTCTACCCAATGCATGCTAGTCTTCTATTCTCTAGAATGCTCCACACTTCTGCTCCCACTAAGTTAAGCTGAAGGTTTATAGAGCCCACTGTGTTTTACCAAACCTGTTTATGACAAGTGAACTTGTTATTATAACTGTGATTTCATTAAATTACATGTAAATACTTAGTTAAATCACCTACTTTATTTGGACTGAAGATGTGTGTTACTTCCATGAACTAAGTTAAACAATTTGGAAGCTTTTTTTTTAGTTTATTGAGACACAGTCTCACTCATCTGCCCGGCTGAAGTACAATGTTACCTACCACAAGGGGTCATACTGAAGCCTCGACGTCTCTGAAACTCAAGTGATCCACCTGCCTCCGTTTCCCAAAGTGCTGGGATTACAGGCATGAGCCACTGCACCTGGCCTCACTCTAAAGATTCTGTGGCAGATAATATTTTCCAAAGATAGCTACAACACTATCTTTCATCCAACAAATCCTTCTAAACCTTGCCCATTCCCTCCATCAATAGTTACAATCTAATTCCTCTATCTTTGAATTTAGGAGGACTTTCGACTAACCTGGAACCAATAAATGTGACAAAAGTGACACTACATGACTTGTGAAATTGGGTTGTATTAATAAAGTGTTACCGCTTTCAACTGCTCTCTGAAGCACTGGACCTATTGCCCTGAAGCACAAACTCTAATTGGCTTGAGGCAACCAAGTTGTGAGGAAGCCCAGAGCAGCCCACACAACATGAAGACGCTCTGGAATTACAAGAAGGAGCATGCCCAGCCAGCCGGTAAACAACTGGTCCAGCCCCCAGCACTTTTAGCTTCCACTGCTGTCTGACTGCAACCTCATAAGCGATCCTGAGCCAGAACTGCTCAGATGACATTTTCCCAGAATCCTGACCGAGAGAAACCATAAAAGATAATGAAATGATTGTTGTTTTAAGCCACTAAGTTTTGGAGTAATTTGTTTAACAGCAATAGATAACCAGACAGAAACTATAGAAACCTTGAACAGTGAAACGTGATTATGGTTCATACAAGAAAGACAATGAGGAATTCTCATCAGCCTACCTACACTCAAAGTAAAGGCCTTGTTCTCATATGGTGAAAGAATGTACAGTTTTGTTGTTATTGTTGTTTGCTTTTGTTTTTGGTTTTTTTTTTTTTTTGAGACGGAGTCTCGTTCTGTCACCAGGCTGGAGTGCAGTGGCACAATCTCAGCTCACTACAACCTCCACCTCCTGGGTTCAAGCGATTCCCCTGCCTCAGCCTCTCGAGTAGCTGGGACTACAGGCACATGCCATCATGCCCGGCTAATTTTTTTTTTGTTTGTATTTTAGTAGAGGTGGGGTTTCACCATGTTGGCCAGGACAGTCTCAATCTCCTGGCCTCATGATCCGCCTGCCTCAGCCTCCCAAAGTCCTGGGATTACAGGCGTGAGTCACCGCGCCTGGCTGAATTGCACAGTTTAATAAATCTGGTGAATGTAATGTTTTCAGTCAATAAATATTCAATAAAATATCTACAATATATATCATCCTTAAAAGTTACTTGTTTTAATTTTCTTTTTCAAATAACCATTCACCACCTCTGATTAGGCTGGAGAAGAGGGCTATTTTACAGAACACAAAATTTTGCAATTTCAAGAGGCTCAGAAATTCCCCTGAGCCCATGGACTCCAGTTTTACCATATGATGGATAATAATATTTTTTATGTTTATTAATAATCATTTTCTTAAATACTCTACACTTCCAAATAGCTTTTAAATAAATATTTTGGCAAAACTAGAAGCTACACCATGAGGGGAATTACGCAGATGTCAACCTACAAAGTTGACTCCTGCTCCACAAGTTGGTTAGCTGGTGACTGTGAAGAGATATGACTGGTGACTGTTCCAGTGATTCCCCAGGTGCTGGCTGCCAGGAAGCTTGGCTTGCTCTGCTTTCCAGAGACTCTCTCTTAGTGAAGAGGACTCCTACTTAGTAGTTCAATGCATCAGATTTTTTACAAGGCATTTAAAAAGGTAACTTGTCTTGCTTGTTTGGCTTGGGTTTTCAACTATTTTATTTTGTTTTTGCATGTTGTTTTCAGACAGAATATTTTACACATATTTTGCTTACTTATTTTCAAGTCATGCATAGTGGGAATTTGGACCGATCATCATTCTCAATATCCTGTAGACATGAAAAACCGCAAGCCAGGAATATTGGGCCAGCACAATGTAGTGGCAACAGTCACTACATATTTCATCCTATATTAGGAAGCCCTGCAACAACTTTTAAATCCTCTTGTAATAAATGTGCTTATCATTAATAAGGTAGAACCATTTCTTTGCTTTGTGAGTGACACATATTCCGGGACTACGTTGAGGTCAAGACATACATCTGTGACACCAAGTCCTCAAGAAGAAAAGTATGGATTTTTTTTACTAGGAATAAGAATTTAAAAGTCAGAGAAATAAGAAAACATTATGCAGAACATGGTGAAGCACTGATCTAACTCTGCAGCACCTTGCCTTCTTCTGACAGTGGTCTCCTTTCTTAAGTGTGAGCTTATGACCCAGGCCCATCACTGTGCGCATCTCTCTGGCCACAATTATGAATTGAGAGATGACAATGTGACCAAAGGCAGAATATAGTCCTCCCTGGCACATTTACACCAGAGTTATAAGGAAAGATGGCTTCTTATCCAGCACCCATCTGGAAGAATCTGAAGCTAAAGCTGCCAAGAGCCATCTTGCCCACAAAATGAAGTCTGAAGGAAGAATGAAACCAGAGGTAAGCAGAGCCTAGAGCTAAAAAGATGGGTCCAAATGACATTAGTCAAAGCCTTAGATCCAGCTGATATTTAAAACCACTGTAGGTACCCAAGACTCCACAGTTACATGAAAAAGATAGATTTATTTTTTTGCTTAAGCTTAAGTTTGACTTTGGTTTCAGTCACCTACAACCAAAATATCTGACCAGTGGGAAGTATAAATAGGGTTATCTTTCAGGAGAGTGATGACAAACTCCAAAGCAAATTCTAAAGAAAGAAAAATCTCAAAAATATAGGCTTAATGATTTTCTTTTTATATGTGAAGGATAACCTGTGGCCTCGAAGTAACAGGAAACCTAGAAAGCTATTGGGTTTCTTACCTTGACAGCTGTAGATTGAGTTATGACTTTCAGCGGCTGGCCATGTGCACTGGCACCTGGATCATGGGGCCATATTGTCAACAGTCCATCACTGCAGCCACTGGAAAGCAGCCTGCCATCCGGTGACCACTTCAGAGCACACACAGCTTGCTTCTGGCGAAGAGTTCCAACATGATGCTGGGCCACCCGAATATCATGATGATAGACATGCCCCAGTCTTGACCCACTGCAAGTTTACGTAACAAAAAAATTAAGCCCTGTTGCTACATAAACATTTGAAAATATGGAGGAAAGCATAGTTCAAAGTAAAACTTCTGAAGGACCCCTAGGACAGATTCAAAACACAGGTGGAGATTCCTTGGGTTAATAAGGATGGCGTGTTCTGTCTAGAGGATTCTTTTCACAAGTGAAATCAATTTGGCTGGCAGAATTTGAAGTCTGGAATTAAAAAGTATCCTTTGGTAGATGTTTCTCATTACTTTAATCTGATGTAGGCAGCCATGGAAAAATAAGCTGAGATTACCAGATTTTCCCAAGTAGTAGTTTATATATTGGACCGAGGAAATATTAATAATACTTTTCTTCAACTTGAATATTTCAGATTATCTTGATGAAATGGTTTCAGTATATATTTATAGTAAAATGTTAGACACAGAAAAGGAAATAAATTTCTAATAGGTAGATTCCTATTAACCTATAGATCCACTCTTAGTTTTGCTAGAGGTACTAATACGTGAAAGACATTTAAAATCAATTGAATGGCCATGCACAGTGACTCACTCCTATAATCCCAGCACTGTGGGAGGCCGAGGTGGGCGGGCCATGAGGTCAGGAGATAGAGACTAACCTGCCCAACATGGTGAAACCCCATCCCTACTAAAATACAAAAAGTTAGCTGAGCGTGGTTATGCGCGCCAGTAATCCCAGCTACTCAGGAGGCTGAGGCAGGGGAATCGCTTGAACCTGGGAGGCAGATGTTGCAGTGAGCCAAGATCGCACCACTGCACTCCAGCCTGGTGACAGAGCAAGATTCCATCTCAAAAAAAAAAAAAAAAAAAAAAAAATAGAATGTTACAGTAAACTGCATTATGATTCCTAATCAGTGTATAATGTCTCTGTCGATGCTAACTGAATTTGAATCTAAACAACTAAAGATCACATCACTTTTTCAAAGATAATGAACTCTTTCTGGACTATTTTAATTTTCTCTAAGGAGTAAGTAAATGATGTTCCACAATTATATTAGAAATTTCTCAAAGTCCAGTGTCACGCTGTTTAAAACTATGCAGGCTCAATGCTGAACAGCATTCTGATTAACAATATGGACTCTGGAACCAGACCAGCTGGGTTATCCCAACTCTGTCCCTTGCTAACCATGTGACTTAAGACTAGTGTCTCAGTTTACTCATTTGAAAAAACAAAATTGAGGATAAGAGATCACCTTATCACATTACTGCAGTGGTTAAAATGAAATTACACACATAAAAAGTATAGCACAGTTCCTGGCACAGAGTAGTTTGAAAATGTTAGCTGCTATTATTATAAGAAAGGATCTCTTCATTGTCCTCGTGGATAATAAAACTAAGCTTTAACAATGCAGATTGGAAAAGGAACTTGAGTACATAATTAGCTGCAACAACTAAGTTGTTTTAACTCTGGCCAAAATTGCAGGGTATTCAAATCTCAGATTTACATCAGATTACTTAAACACATTGTAAAATTCTTTGGGATTTATCTAACTTAAGTCTACCTTAAGAACTACAATACGAAAATGAATGGCTATGATTAAAAGCAATATATACTTAGACCAAGCATGTAGGCTCATAGGAACAAGTCAATTTTTCTGGTTAAAAAGAAGCAGTTAAACTAAATCATTAGTTCTCAAAGTGATGCATCATCAGCAACACTTCGGAAATGAGAAATGCAAATTATCAGCCCCTCGAGACCTAATGAATCTGAAGTCCCTCAAATGAAGCCAGCAGTCTGCATTTTAAGGAGCCCTCCAGGTGATTCTCATGCATGTTCAAGTTTAAAAACTACTGAACAGGATGATCTATTCCCTCTGCTCTAATTTCTGTGGGTCTGTGTATTGGAAATGTGCCCCAGGGAGCTTAACATATGCCATAGTATAGATACTGATAGCAATAAATACTTGATTACAGAAAAATATCCCTTTAATACATATTACTTGGGGCAAAAAACCTTTTGCTTGAAAGGAATTTTACATTTTATCTGAACAATTTAGTGGATCCCATGCAGAAGGTACACATGGTACATGTGGCCACTAAGACACATCACCAACAGATCTGAATACCTGAGAGGGTGGGATCATGACTGATACTAAGTTTAATGGCCTATTTTGTCTCCAACAGAATACTTCTTACCTGCTAAGGATAAAGTGATTCCAGCTCAGAGTCCCAACTACTGACAAATGACCAAGCATATTTCTCAGCTGCTTTTTAGTTACCACATCCCATAACTGAAAAAATGAACAAGGAGTTATGTAGCATTGGCGTTTTCACAGTCCTCTGTCTTCTCAAAAGCCTGAGAGCCAATCACTGTCAATATTGTTACTTTTTGTACTAAGTGATAAACCCAGCACCTCTAGCTAGCAGTTCTCAATTCTGACTGTGTATTAGGATCAGCTGGGGAGTCTGTAACACACTACAAATGCTGATTTAGTTGGTGGAGTAGAGCCTGGGGATATGGCAGTTATTTTAAAGCTCCCCAGTTAATTCAATGTGCAGCCAATTACCACATTTCTAGCACCTTCTAAACTGTGAGAATTCCAAATATGGAAATCTATCTACAGTTACCAATAAATGTATTAATAAAATGTGGGTGCCTGGACACTTCCTAGAATCAGAAAGTCCACTTACTGCTAAGAGACTCCTTTCCTGCCAGCTACAGATAATATTCTGATCCACTTGGGGAATTACAACTTTGGTGTAAGAAGAAATTATGACAGAGACTTCACAGGATTCGTCGTCATTGCAGAGATGAGAAAGCAGTGAGAGAGCCATCTATGGCCCTCCTAAATCATCTAGCACATGAGTGATATTGTTTATTCTATTGGTAATAATAATAATAATATGAGAAATTAGATAGATCAATGGAAACTTGGTAAATCCTCATCTCAAAGAGTCTATCAGAAAAAAAGAAATCACTCATTTTCTATAACTATACTCTGAATCATGGCTTCAGGTGAAAAAGGAGAACTGAAAGTATCTTCCTCTCTCCAAAGCTCCAAAACTGGAGATTATACAAGCTCAACTTTAGTGTCAGAGAAAATATATTTTTAAAAGAAGGAAATATGACAGAAAGATTGTGGTGGAAACTAACCAGAGTATCCTTAAGTCTTCATTAAAAACCATTCTTACTTCCCATTGCTCAAGTGCCACACTTAGTTTCTCTATTTTACATTAAATTGGTATTAAAAGTCAATTATAGTCTAGTAATACACAGAGAACATGATGAAAGGAAAAAAAAACTGGCCAGTACTTGCACTTCTCCCTCACTGGTGCCAACTGCCAGGCAAGTTCCCTCTTTTATCCAGGACACAGAAGAAATATAGTTACAAGTGAGACTTAAGTCTATGTTTTCAATCCCATTGTGGTTCTCCCCATTCCAGATGTATACAGTAGATCCCAGGGCTATGGCAACAAGATTCTGATAATTCCAGTCTAGGATATTCAGATCTATAAGAAAAGCATTTCGAGTTAGGATAATCATAGAGCCAAATGAAAATACGTTCAAATAAACAACTTTATAGGTAGGGGGAAAAGACTAATACCATCCCCATGGTTGGTTGGAAAACAGAAACATGGAACCAAGAAAATCCTTAAAAGTTCAAAAATGAAAACTGGAATAGAATCTGGTGTCAACACTCACAGTCTAACAAGCAATAATGCTTATTATTTACACTGAAATATACTTATTTAGAGGCATTTAAAGAACTTGGCAGATTCATCTACCATTATTAGTACATGTAGATTTCATTTAACAGATCACTAAAAATTAAAAGCATATAATTCTCATGGAGACACCCTTAGACCTAGGATGTCTATATGGGAGATGCCACTATCATTTCAAACCAAAAACACCACCCAGCTAGAAGTGGTGGTGGTGCATGTATGATACCTAGATATTCTCAACAGTATTCTATAGCTTATACTAATAAGAACCCTTTGACTGCTAAAAGAAAACATGTTTGTATGACCACTTATTAAAATATGCCCTATCTTATTTCTTATCCATCAGAAACTCCTGACTGACACGTATCAGTATAAAACTATATAGCACACCAGTTCCACTACAGTAGTTTAAACCCCTACAATATATTCTATCCCCTTGATAAATATAAACTCCAAATGAAATATAAAAAACAAACACCTGGAGACCCTGGAAAGTAAGAAAAAGCAATAAACTAAGTAAGGAAGTCAAGAGGCAACCTGTCAGAAGTGAGCTTCCCACTTTTCTTCTTTCACACCTTTGTCCTAAGGACGGGCCCCAGACATGAAGCAGCCCCTCCAGCTAAGACTCTGATGGAAAAGCCACCATCTTTCTGATCAGAGAAACCATGGAAAGGAGCCTGAGGCATAGAACTGATGCCAGTATGAGGGGAAAGTCCTAGACACAAGAAAGCCAAAAGAAAGAGATCCTCAGATTGTGAGCATATTAATTCACATGCATCTCAGCCTTACCCCTAAATCATTTACATGCAGAAGAGACTCAAATTAGCTTAGCAAAGGCCTTAAGAAATGAACTGAGATTTGAAACATCCATACAAGTCTCAGCCTAGGCTCTGATCCACATATATGAGATACAGATCCAAACCAGCATAGTCAAAGTTTAAGAAAGTGATCTAAGATTTGAAACACCACCCCCAAATGGCAAGACAAAACTTAAAATGTGAACCTAACTAGAACAAAAACAATATTCTCCTCAGGACCCAGTGACTATAACATAACATCTACAATATCCAGACACAATTCAAAATTACTGGCTAAATATAAAGGTAAAACATAATCAATAGATGAAAACTCCAAGGTGACCTAGGTACAGAAATTATGACACGAAGACTTTACAGCAGCCACTATATTCTCCACGAAGTGAAGAAAAACACACATGAAGTGAATGAAAATTCATATGAAGCTTCATATGAAGCTTTAGCAGATAAATAGAAAAATCAAAAGTATTTTCTAAATAAATAGAAACCATAAAACAAAACTCTAAAATGGAAATCAAATATACAAAAACCACAAAACATAAACTTTAAAATTGAAAAATACATCTGACAAATCCCTTGGATAAGTTCAATAGCAGGATAGCAGTGACAGAGGAAAGAGTAAACTTGAATATAGATTTTAAAAATTAATCTATCTGAAGAATATGGAAAAAAAATGTTAAAGAATGAAGTCTCAGGGACTTGTGGAATAATATGCATAAATCTAACACATGTGTAAGTAGAATCAGGTCTTAGAAGCAGGATAACAAGATTTCAGATGACCATGGGGTTCTCACAGACACCATGGAGGCCAGAGTCAATGAAACAACATCTTTTAAATGCTGGGGCTAGAGGGTAGTGGTGGATCTTTCAACCCAGAATTTAATGTCCAGCAAAAATCTCATAAACTGGAAGATGGAAAATCTAACAGAAGTCTGTGCCAACAGACCTGATCTGCAAGAAATGCTAAAGGAAGCTCTTCAGGCTAAAGGGACATTCCATGAAAGAAAGTTGGATCTTCAGAAATGAAGGAGAACATTGAAATTGGTAAATATTTGGGTAAACATAAGGAGCCATTTTTCCCTCTTAAGCTATTTAAATACTTTGTAAATTTTAAAACATTTACATTTGGACAGTTTTCAGTATATGTAAATATAAAATGCATGACAGGCCAGACGCAGTGGCTCACACCTGTAATCCCAGTACTTTGGGAGTCCAAGGTGAGAGGATCACTTGAGCCCAAGGAGTTCAAGACCAGCCTGGGCAACAAAGTAAGACTCCATGCCTACAAAAAAATCAAAAAATTACCTGGGCATGGTGGTATGTGCCTGTGGTCCCTGCTACTTGGGAGGCTAAGGCAGAAGGATCACTTGAGCCCAGGAGGTAGAAGCTGCAGTAAGCCTCTGCAGCCTCCAGTCTGAACCAGTGCACTACAGGCTGGGTGACAGAGTAAGAAGACCTTGCCTCAAAAAACAATAACAAACAAACAAACACATGACAACTACAGTAATCTAAAAAGCAGTTGGGGAGTTAGACCTATGTGATCGCAAGATGTTTATATATTGTGTGAAGTGTACAATAGTAACTCTATGTAGCCTAAGAAAGTTTAAATTACATTGTAATTCCTAGAGCAATGACGACAAAATACAATACAAATAGATATAGCCAAAAAACTAAGAGATAAATTAAAATATAACAGAAGTAAAAAAAAGAAAAGATGTCCAAGGAATAAGCCTTGGGTACTCCAACATTTAGAGGTCAGGGAAATGAAAGAGAAACACAAATCAGCAAAAAAGCATGAGAAACAGTGAACAAAAAGGCACTTGGACAAATCCCAAAAGATTGGGATATCAAGAAGGAGGGATTGATCAGCTGTCTCAAATATAGTTGATAGGGTTCAGTATAAGGTCTAAGAAGTAACTGTTGGATTTATCAATAAGGAGTTCTTTGGTAATGTTTGGAAAAGTAGTTTCAATTGAATGATGAGACTTAAAACTTGACTAGAGTGGATTTGAGACAATGTGGGGAGAGAAATAGAAAATTATGAGTATAAAGATATTTTGAAAGTTTTACTGTCAAATGGAGGAAAGAAAGAGGGCTGTACAGCCAGCTGTGGTGGTTCCTGCCTGTAATCCCAGCAGTTTGGGAGGCCAAGACAGAAGGATCACTTGAGGTCAGGAGTTCGAGACCAGCCTGGCCAACATGGTGAAACCCCATCTCTATTAAAAATACAAAAATTAGTGGGGCATGGTGGCACACACCTGTAGCTACATGCCCAGCTACTTGAGAGGCTGAAGCACAAGAATCACTTGAACCCAGGAGGGAGAGGCTGCAGTGAGCCACTGCATTCCAGCCTGGATGACAGAGAAAGACCCTGTTTCAAAAAAAAAGAAAAGAAAGAAGGAAGGAAGGAAAGAAGGAAAGAAGGAAGGAAGGAAGGAAAGAAGAAGGCTGTGGCTTAAAGGAAAAATGGGAACGAAAGTGGTTTATTCTTACTATGAGTGTAATGGTTTTTTAATATATGTTTAAAATGCATTCTCCATAACTGGTCATGACAATAAATTCTCCTGGAGAATAAACTGAAGTAATAGGAAGATAGAGAACTGTTTCCTTTAGGGATTTTGCCTTTTCTAGATTACGCCTCTTTATAGATATTCCACAGAGCCCAGGCCTCTTCCCTCTGCTCCTCTCTCCCTCACCTAGGGAGCTCACACTGGCTCCTGGTGTCAATCATAATCAACCGACTTACACACTAGTCCAACCTCTTTTCAACTACCAGCATTCATTTCAAATAATCTGCCAAGCTTCTTCTATGTCTTATTGTCTCCTTTAATGTAATATTCAAGCATAGCCTTTCCTCTCCAAATCACTTCCTCTGCCAGTCTGTCTTCTCAGTGACACCACCCTTCTCCTGCTTCAAAAACCTGGAATAATCATAAATTCATTTCTTAACCTATTTCTTTTCTACATGGAAGAAAAATAAGCCTTTACTCTTTGGCAGCTCTTTCCTACTAAGCGCATTCTGCATACTCTGCCATGAATTTTCCTTTGATGTTTCTCTTAGTCAACAACTCCCAAAACAAATCTAAATTTCGAAATTTGAATTTTTCTCCATAACCTGTACCCACCTACTTATTCACCACTCCCCAATGTGTCTTCTTCATTGCCATTAAATATCATTGATTACCAACATCCTACCTTCATCACGCTGTTAACAATACCAAAAATGGTCCTTCTCCTCTATACCCTTCCAAGTCTAACAACCTTTCAAGACCCCGCTTAAGTATAAATATCTCTACAAAGTCTTTCTGAGCAACACCAAAGCTCACTGAGCTCCTTCTGGTCTTTATAGCTCCTTATATCCTGTAATTTATTATTTACAATCTACATTGGCATACTGGTATCAGTTCCATGTCAGTTAGTCCTGTCCTCCAAACTAGATTACAAACTAGGCACATAGCAAGCAGACCCAATGCAGTTGTTTGGCTAATTCAATTTACCCATATTTAAAATACATACATAAGAATAGATCATTAGTACAGGTCTTTCTAATACAGTAACATAAAATGCATATTTCACACACCATGCCAACATTAACAATACCCGCTCCTGAATATGAAAGTTGCACTAGGAAAAGTCTAGTATATTAGCCATAATTGGATGTTACACTATTTGGGTATAAGGCATAAAGACCATCTGGTTTAATTAAATTTCAAGTTTATGCCAGAGCACAGGATGCATTTTGTCATTTCAACTTTTCAATTCCCAATCTAAATGATAACTTACAGTAGTCATTTCGGAGACCAGTAAGATGAATCTTCACCTCTGGTTTGAGTATGGAATGGTTTATATCACTGGACCTTTTAAGATGAAAGGATTCATCTCTGACTCCATCTTTGCAGCCTACAAGAAACAAACACTTCTACATAGCTCTATGATCCTGAAAATATAATATTTATTCTTATGGGTATTAAGAAATATCATTAAGTGGAAAAGGTTAATTAAGTGGAAAATAAGTAGTCATCATGGAAAAAACTACAGGACAAAGAGCCAAGGAAGGAAGGAAATGAAGAGCACTTCAGTGTTAATTTAAACAAGAATATTAAAATTTCTTCCAATGGCACTTTCTAATAAAAAGCGCATGCACACAGGCCTGAATGTAGATAACGGATCTTGTTGTGAGTACACAGAGATATTACATCATGCTTTGAATACTTATTCTGTTATTTGTTATTTTAAAACCAAATTGAATTTTGCTTGTCCACATGTCTATTACACCAAAACTTAACTGATATAGCAAATCCCTACTCTTGAGACTTTATCAATAAATATTTATTGATTCATTGATTTTAGCTCTTTCTCTCAGTATTTCAGTACCAGAGCACATGGGGTTACTACTTTTGGTTAATTTTACTCATGACTATCTGAGGTCTGTCTTTTGTTCAGTTCTCATCAAAAGACCATACTAAATTCAAACCACAGGCCACTGTCTTTTCATCTCCAACCACTCAGCTTGTGACCAAACTGAGAATGATAAAATCAGAAGAAACTAAGACCACCAGGTGACTTGTAGTGTCTGACCAGATAAGCATGAGAGCTTCACAATGCTATACCAAAAAACCAAATTGTTACTCATAAATTCCTGCTTCTGTGTTAGCTATGCAAACCTGCAGTTGAGGGCAGAACTGCAAGGTTACTAAAAACACTTAGGCTTGCTGATAAAGTATCACTAAGGTTAAAAAAAAATCAATATCCAAAGAATGAACAAAAATCTCCTGGGGCTGGGCACAGTGGCTCACACCTGTAATCCCAGCATTTTGGGAGGGTGAGGCAGGCAGATTGCCTGAGCCCAGGAGTTTCAAGACCCACCTGGGCAACATGATGAAATCCTGTCTCTACAAAAAATACAGAAATTGGCCGGGTGCAGTGGCTCATGCCTTTAATCCCAGCACTTTGGGAGGCTGAGGCAGGCGGATCAACAGGTCAGGAGTTCGAGACCAGCCTGGCCAATATGGTGACATCTCTACTAAAAAAAATACAAAAATTAGCTGGGTGTGGTGGCAGGCGCCTGTAGTCCCAGCTACTCTGGAGGCTGAGGCAGGAGAATTGCTGGAACCTGGGAGGTGGAGGTTACAGTGAGCCGGGATCATGCCACTGCAAACCAGCCTAGGCAACAAAGTGAGACTCCGTCTCAAAAAAAAAATAAAATACAGAAATTAGCTGGGCATGCTGGCACATGCCTATAGTCCCAGCAACTTGGGAGGCTTGGGGGTAGGAGGATTGCTTGAGCCAGGAGCTCAATGCTACCATAGTTGCACCACTGCACACCAGCCTGGATGAGAGTGAGGCTCTGTCTCTTAAAAAAAAAAAAAAAAAAAAGACATAAAGAAACCTTAAATCTATGTCACTAAGTGAAAGAAGACAATCTGAAAAAAACTATATACTGTATGATTCCAATTATACGACATTCTGTAAAAGGAAAAACTATAGATACCATAAAAAAGCTTCTATAGGAAGGGGAGAGACAGATGAATAGACAAAGCAGTGAAGATTTTTAGGGAAATGAAACTATTCTGTATATTATAATAGTGATACGTGTCATTATACATTAGTCAAACCCATTGAATATATAACATCAAGAATTAACTCTAATATAAACTAAGGACTTTGAGTGATAATGATGTGTCAATGTAAGTTCATTGATTGTAACAAATGTACCACTCTGGTGGGAGATGTTGATAACGGAGGAGGCTGTGTGTGTATGGTGACAGGGGATATAAGGCAACTCTGTACCTTCTGCCTAATTTTGCTGTGAACCTAAAACAACTCTAAAAAATAAAGTGTGGGCTGGGTGCGGTGGCTCACACCTGTAATCCCAACACTTTGGGAGGCCAAGGCAGGTAGATCACCTGAGGTCATAAGTTCGGGACCAGCCTGGACAACATAGTGAAACCCTGTCTCTACTAAAAATACAAAAATTAGCTGGATGTGGTGGCGGGCACCTGTAATCCCAGCTACTCACGAGGCTGAGGCAGGAGAATCACTTGAACCTGGGGGGAGGAGGTTGTGGTGAGCTGAGATCATGCTAGTGATCTGGGTAACAGAGCGAGACTCCATCTCAAAAAATAAACAAAACAAAATAAATAAAGTGTGTGTGTGTGTGTGTGTGTGTGTGTGTGTGTGTATACATATATATGTGTGTATATATGTATATATGTATGTCTATATACATATATATGTGTGTGTGTATACATATAGAGAGAGAGAAAGAGGGAGAGTCTCCTAGCATATCAGAATATTATAGGTACATTATCTCTGGCTTCATAGAACATATATTTTTTATTCTAAGTCAAATATTTAGCACCTTACAGAAACAAAAACTTGTTACAAGATGAGAGAGCTGAGGAAAGACAAATCCCAACACATTTTATTTTACTTTTAAGAAAATATCATTCTAAGGAAAAGATAAGGTTCATGCCCTCATCCCCACCATACATTCCCAAACCCCCAAAAGAACATTTAGAAGGCCTGAAATTTTGTGCCTATTTTTATGCATCTAACTCAAATTTTTTCCCCTTTTTACTGCTGGGAAACAGATGCTTGAGGAATAAACATGCACAAAGTCCTAGATAGAAGTTTGTCCAACCTGAAGCCCACGGGGCACATGTAGCCCAAGAGGGCTTTGAATGCAGCCCAACAAAAATCCATAAATGTTTTCTTCAAACATTATGAGATTTTTTTGTGATTTTTTTTTTTTAGCACATCAGCCATTGTTGGTGTATTCTATGTGTGGCCCAAGACAGTCCTTCTTCCTCCAATGTGGCTCACAGAAGCCAAAAGATTAGACACCCCTGTATCTAGAAGTTAAAAGTGTGTATCTATGTATTGTCTACATAATTTTTAAAAGAAAATTTCCAAAAATATTTTTAATAAAAAATTAGGACACGCCAGGAACAGTGAGTCATACCTGTAATCCCAACACTTTGGGAGACCAAGTCAGGTGGATCACTTGTGGTCAGAGTTCGAGACCAGCTTGGGCAACATGGTGAAACCCTGTCTCTGCTAAAAGTACAAAAATTAGCCAGGCATGGTGGCACAGGCCTATAATTCCTGCTACTTGGGAGGCTGAGACCGGAGAATTGCTTGAGCTCAGGAGGTGGAGGTTGCCGTGAGCCATGATCACACCACTTCACTCCAGCCTGAGTGACAGAGCAAGACTTCATCTCAAAAAAAAAAAAATAAGACAAGCTGAGGCATGACAATCATTTGTACCCAGGAGGAAAAGGTTGCAATGAACCAAGATCCCAGCACTGCACTGCAGCCTGAGCAACATGAAAAAAAAAATGGTAAACTGCTAATATTGGTAAACTGCTATTTCTTGCCGTCAAGTCTAAAATCACAAGAAATAGCAGTTTACCAATATTATTTGGAAAACAGATGTAAATGCCCCAGGGGACAGCTGGAAGAGCTAAAGGTAGTCGCCCCTAGAGAATGGGACTTGGAGGGTGGGGGTAGTTAGAACAGAGGATTATGAGAATTATTCAAATTTTAAAATTAGGTCGATTTAATCTAGTAAATATTAAAAATAATATATTTTAAAATTAGGAAGAAATGAAGGAGGCAGAGAAAGAGGAGGGTAGAAAAGAAGGACAATGTCTGGAGCCTGTACCTTTCCAAACACATTGGGATTGCTCACAGAGCTGCATTTTTCCATTAGCCTGCTGAACCACCTTCTGGGTTACAAAAAGTTGTTTTAGGCATTTCTGAAAATAAACATACATAAGGAGAATACTTCTTTAGAAACATATATGTACAACTTAGATGTGATGTATAATATAGATTTACAACTGATAATTCACTAAGGAGTTCAAAGACTCCACATTGTCAAAGTCAACACCACAATAATCACCATTATTTATTAACTAAACACCATATAATGAACAGTGCTGAGCATTTTACATATATTATTTCTAATCTCCTCAACAGCTCCCTAGAGCAGGTATTTTTCAGCTAGAATAAAATCTTTTTTTATTCTTCTAGCCCAAAAATCCATTTAACCTATACAGCATAGGTCAGTGCATCACCAAAGCCTGCCACAACTGAACTGCCATGACATTTCTAGTACTCTCTGAAATTAAAAGATCTCTATGAAATAATAAAGTTGAGCATTCATAAGATAACATTTTGCAAAAAGGATTTGTTTGAGGGAATGCCTGTCAGTACGCAATCCAAAGACCTTCCCTCAGCTTGTTACTGAGATTGTCTCTGGGCCTCAATTTTTCTCACCTGTAACGTTTGAATTGAGCTCATCATCTTAAAAGTCTTTTTCTGCTAACACCTTCACAGAGATCTTTAGTAACTTTACTAAAATTCCACATGCGCAAAAATCTAGGTGCTATCCCTTTGGGCCAATATATAAAGAGCACTTCTGACAATCTTACATCCAACATCAATCAAAAACATCTAGGAAAATTAGTAATAAGTGGAAAGAAAAATACTTGTTGAAAAAAACATAGTAATGAATAAAGCAGAGAAGGTTCTGTTTTGCTTCTTCACAACAAAATATGTGTTCTCACATGTGTGACAAACCCTGTGTCAGGTTCATGACTACACCAAAGGTCATGTTGAGGTCTGGAGGGAGTCAGTGGATGAGCAGAAAGAACACTTGGGGGTCCATAGGCAGGTGATGATTTTATTCAGCAGCAGCTCTCATCAGCAGCTTTCTTACACTAACTCTCTTCACTTTTCACCTTTAGCTCGGCTGCTTAGTTCAGCAGCCCCCACACACAGCCGCTTGGCTAACTCTCCCTTGCCTTCAGGGTCAGCAGCTTAACACTCTCTCTCTCTGGGCAGAAGCGAGCCCAGCTGTGTCCTGGCTCCCCCAATTCATCTGCAAATACGGACAGCTCTGGCTTTCTCTCGCTTTCTCCAGGTGCCAGCTCCTGCAGTGTCAACAGGGCAATTATACCTTCTGCAGACAATAGTGGCTTAGAGCCAAGTGATGTCCTTCCCTATGTTATGCTGTGGTGATGAGCTTCTCTATGTCTGCATGGCTACGACAACAAGTGGAGTTATGCACCTGTGCTCTGGACTCACTGAGTCATGCAGAATATAAACATCCTACCTCGGCCTATCCTTGACCAAAGCACAGCCATGTTCCTTATACACTGTGTCCCCATAGTTCAGAGAGTGAACTGTGTCCCCACAGTTCAGAGAGAAGTCTCTCTGACAGACAACATTTTGGTATTTTTTTTTCTTCCTTGATGTTATGTCACATAATAGGCATTTCTGTCAATGAATCATGGTTTTTAATTATTCAAGGTAGAACAACTAACTATAAAGCAGGGTTTCCCAGTCTTGGTGCTATGGGCATTTGGCAGTGGATAATTCATTGCTGTGGGAGCTGTTCTGTGCATTGTAGGATGTTTAGCAGTAATCTATGCCTTCACCCACAAGATGCTCTTCCCCGGAGTTGTGACAATCAAATGTCTTTCAGATATTGCCAAATGCCCCTTGATGAGCAAAATCACCCTGAGTTGGGAACCATTAGTAGAAAATAACATTTCTAAAATGGTCCGCTCATCAGTAGTTCAATGAACTCTTCACACACTCACTTCTTCAGAGTCCCACAGTCACCACAAAGCTGATTACAGCAAGGTTTGGCATGTGCTTCTGCTCTGTGGGTGCAGGGGTGCTCTTTCCTAGATGACATCTACTTACTACTTTAATCAGCAACTTAATATGGAGCTCCTGGAAGATGAATTCTGAAAGTCTCCACGGCTATGCAGGCCCTCGTTGTGGAAACACCCTCCAGATGATCAGTGAGGACCACATGAAGATATACATTTACTCTGCAGGAGAAAGACCTTGCTTTGTGTCTTCACCACTCTTGATGCTATCTGACTGCTAACTAATCATGACAAAGAAAAATTGCTCAGCTTAACATCATAGAACAGCTTCCATTATCCCCTGCCCAGGTTCTTCAGTGATGCTGGGGTGACATTCTAGCTGGTATAACAATTGCTAAGGAGTATCTTGCCAATGCCATCGTGAGCCCACAGACACAGCCATCAACCTTGCTGCCACCAATTACCAGAAAGGAGAAGGGGAAGGAAAAGGGAAGCCCTAAGGGATAGGGAATCAAAAACGCTAATCAGCAGTAAAAAATGGAGAAGACAGGAGTGTTTATTGTCTGGCCCAGGTTTGAGACCACGAGTGCTCCCTAATTATCTCAGTAGGACTCCCTGGCCACTCCCTATCCCCCAAACCCATACCCAACTACGAAGCACACATCAAAATGCCTGCTCTAAAACATTCACTTCCAATTGCATATGAGTTCAGGTAACTAAAATTTATATTTACAATATTTTATTATTCTTCTAGCAAAATAGCCAAGCACAGAAAGAGGTATACACTGAATAAGCAATTTTGCCTAAATTGAGAATTTATGACTTTTCTAGTTCAAAGCATTTGAACTGAAACATTGATTCCTTTAAAGACTCCCCATTGGATTTGATGAAATCAAAAACATTCTATTGATATTTAATGTGCCCAAAAGATTTATAGCAGCTTCCTAAGATCTTAAAACTATAATAAGTAAGAGATACCTAAATGTAATAAATCTACTTAACCAAGAAAAAACAAACAACAAGAAAGACTTAAGGGAAATATTTAAAAGACCATCATATAAAGCAGTAATTTAACTTTTCCTAAGAGACCCCAAAGGACAGAACACATCATCAAATAGTTGGAAATGATGACAGCAAGAGCTCCTTGAGCTAACGGGAAGCATACCATAATAAGTATAATGTCATATTTTATCAGGAATGCATCATTTTCTTGTTGATTGATAAGAGCTGCCAAGGAACTCTTTCCTTACATTTGCGACTCAGTTGTCTGAGTGTCTCCAGATGTGGAATCTTCAGCTTTTTTTTCTCTTTACCTACCTGCCCTTTTGAGGCAACGTTTTCCTTCCAGTCTCTGTCCATTGCATGAGGTGCCTTGCAAAAATGGAGAGCAGAGTTATTTGTTTCAGAACTTCCTTTGATGGGGGTCTTTGGTGGTTCTTTGCAGGATCCTACAAAAAAGACATTTAGCTCTGAATTTGGTTTTTAAAACAAAATAATCCCTTTGATTTTAGGTCTGGCTGTGGCATCTTTCCCAACAGGACAGAGTGGGAAAGCCCAGGCTCTTGTCTCTCCAAAGTCCATTACAAGGAGTGGGACAGAATCTTATCCAGACTGCTGACTTCATGAGGTTGTCACTCAGTGAGGAAGCTGCCTCAGTGGCCTCTAGAGAGGGGAAGAGGTGCCAAGATTAAAGACCTGACTTAATCTGCAGTAGCAACAGTGTAAATGCTTCATCTCTGTAGGGAAAAAAAACAGATTTGCATATTTGAAGAACGGATAGAAACAGCTCCATAGTTTTAAATGATAGCGTAAAGAGTATCTGGTTTGCCCAAACTATGATCATCCTGCCAGGAAATCATTATGGGATGATTGCTTTGACAGCATTGACATTCACTACACAGTCATGAGCAAATTATTTTGTCTCTTTCCCCCTTTCTACTGCAGAAAGATGTTTTAAACATAGTTTAAGATGGCATCAATGATGCTTTCTAAGTTAAAGTAATAGAAGAGTAAATGTTACTTCCATCAATATTATTCCTATCTAGTCTCTTCTCAAGATTGAGAAAGCCCTTTACCAGACTTTCAACTGTGCCAGAAACCTGTCAAGTCATTCTCTAAAACTAAATATCTGCCGTATCACTTGTTCATCAGAGAAGCCAAGGGAACATTGGAAAATCTTGGCCTTTTGCCATGTGACAATCTCTTCTTCATTCGGACAACTATGGGCTTTAAAAACCGTCACTGATGTCCTAAGAGCCTGGTACCTCAAGTACTGGGACATTCAAAATTCAAGCACTGGGACATTCAAAATTTAAGCAATATATATTACATGTAGGGAGAAAAAGGATGAAAATATGAAATGTTGCTCCAAGTTTTAGATCTTGCTCTTTGTCCTGAGATATTATGCATGCTTGCTTCCTTGTGCTATTTGTAGAAGAGTACAGGGGAGAAAAAGCCAGCTCTCAGAACTTCAAATGAGGAAGAAAAAGTCGCAGTCAGAGGCTAGTACTGACAATCATTCCCAGTTATAAACAAAGAGGTCAGGTCCACCAGCCTAAGAAAGAAGTGACCTCACAGAGCATGACTGAAAATGAACCTCTCTGTAAATGACCCTTTGGAATGTGAGGATCTTCAGTAACTGCTCTTCTAAAACAAAAAGAAAGAAACCCCACTAGCAAAGCACAGAGAAACCAATTGATCTGATTAATGCCTAAAGTAGAAAATAAAATGGCCTTTCTTGTAGAATTCTTTTGGCTAATATCTGTCTCTTGGATTTCTGAATATCACACAATGTCATACATTTTTTAAAAAATCAATAAATTAAGAGCCTAGAAAGAAAAAGGGAGGCCCTAATTTTACCCAAAAAATCTTCGGAAACAATCAGCATCAAAACTGTCCCTCAATTACAATGATTTCTTTCAGAAGATAGTCATAACAACGACCTTTTTTACAATCCTTTAACTCCTACTGCTTCCTTCTTCAGTTACTAAATACTTTCAGTATTAACACCTGTCCTTACATGGAGATTTCACTGGTTTGATAAAATCTGGGCTCCCTTTCAATCTGCAGAACTGCAATGTATCATCGTGTCTAATGTCACTGAAAAGAGCTGCACTTCTATTAACATTTGTCTTAATAAATATGCTGATAGTCAAATAATTATGTTGCCTAGGGTTCTCAAAGGAAAGAATGGGAATTGCATCCGCAGATGATAGGTGACAAATTTTGCTTCTGAAGGATGGGAATGAAAATGGCTGTGCCCAAATGAGAATTACATATTTCAGAAAGAGTTGTGTTCGCGACTCTGACAGGTTGATCATGGATCCTGCCCACGCTAGTGGTTTGGAGCCTACGCCCCCATCTCTGTCCCATCATAGCCATCAGACTGTCTCTCACTCTCCTTTCCTTCCTTCCCTTTTCTTCTCTTTCCCTTCTACTCTTGGTGGTTCTTCTTTCTTCCTCCTCTTCCTCCTTCTACTCTTCTGTCTCCTTCTCCTCTCTTCTCTCTTTCTCCCCTTGCCTCTCCCCCTCCATTCGTCCCCCCTGCCTCTCTCTTGCTTCCTTCCTCTTACTTTCTCTTCCTCTCATCCTCTCCGGATTCTTTTTCTTCTATTTCACATCTGATTACTCCATTTCTAATGTATAATTTTTTTCAGACTCTGTATACCAGGAACCTTACCAGTCATTAAAATTCTATACTTTGCAAACAAAAATGCATATATGTATGTGTATACATATACATATATATATACATTCACACATACAATGTTTACAAAAATAATTATCTAACCAACGCAAGTCTCAAAAACATTAAAATTAAACTAAATTTGGCCTGAGAACTGCAACCTAACTTGGGATGTAAACTAACTGAAAGTCTAACTTAGCTGAGTCTCTGCCAATCACAGAAGGTGAGCTTCAGCCAATCACAGGCAGTCAACTGATCAGACCACGTGCAAATAAGGAGAACTGAGCTGTAGCCAATCAGGCCGGTTCCTACCGCACTTCCCATCTGGTCCATGAATGCTGCCCGCCCCAACGTGGCGGCACGGTTATCTGGTTGCCCATTGGCCAGTGATTCTTTGCACAATTAACTCTGTTAAATTTAATTTGTGTAAACTTTTTTTTTAAAAACACATACAGTACTTTCTTTTGTTTTTGGGTCATTTCTCCCCACCTTGGAAATTTCTTACTCAAAGGTAGAAAAAGAAGAGTTGACTAGATGTGGCACTCCTTAGTCCTACAAGACAAAGGTTCTCTCAGGAATATATCCTTTATTCACATTGCAAAACTGGGCTGTGGCGTTTCTGGCACCTCACCTAGAGTCAAGGTCTCTTTCTCAGGCGTTGTCTTCAGCACTAATCCAGAAGCTTCGGGGAGGTAGGTGATTGACTCCTCTTCCCCAAAGGAATCAGCGGACAGAGCCCTAGTTTGACTTTGCCGCCACCTTGTGGTAATGGGGCTACTCGCAACAGGAACCTCTGTGGAGAGCCTCTTCGCAAAGTTGGTCTTAAAGTCAAAATATGTAGCATTAACTGAATCAAATACCTGTTTAACAATAAAAACAGCTGTAACTCCAGTGGCCTCAGTGATACAAAAGTAAAAATTCCTTAGAAGAGAATTACAAATAACTCATCTAGTACACCAATAAAATATACAAAAAGAGATTTTTTAATTTTTGTAACCTCGATGTTATTTTATATATTTCTATATATTTTTGTATATAGTTATACATAAAATATGTTATATTTTATAGTTATATATTATTTAAACATAAAATATGTTATATTTTATATATTTACATTTAAATATAAAACGTTTTTATATTCATAAAACGTGTTATATTTTATATGTATTTATAAAACGTTACATTTTTATATATTTATGTGTAAAATATGTTACATTTTTCTACATGTTTATGTACAAAATATGTTATATTTTTATGTGAAATATATTATTTTATATGTAAAATAAATATATATTTTTTTCTACCTAAAAAACACCAAAATGCCACTAGATACTGAAAGCGTCTGCTCAAGGGTCAGTAGGTATACCAAAGCAGTTTAGCGAGTAATTATATTTAGAAATATTACCATTACATATCAGTATAAAATATGATATATGAAATAATATACTGAGCATGCAAGATGTTTGTTTGAAGTTATAAAATTTCAAATCTGGATATAAACCGCAATTTTCTAGTCCAACTCCTTTATTTCACATTTGGGGAAGCTGAAGCCTAAAGAAAGTAAATGATTTGTTCAACAGCTGTCCATCCCCTCCAAGAAACACCAGGAGTTTGATATTTATAGAGCCTGTAGTAGTGAACCATGCCATGTAGCCATGTGAAATTAACAAACTGGAAATGAATTATCTTTTCACAAAATGACAGATAAGTTAGGTTAAAATCCTAGTCATAAAGAGCTCTTACAGAAATTGACAAGTTTACCAACCCAATAGAAAAACTGGGGCATGGGACATAAAAAGGCAATTCATAAAAGAGATATATAAATGTCCAAAAAATATTTAACCTCACTTGCAATCAAAGAAATGCATATTTAAAACAGCAATGAGATGTTAGCAATAGTTTTCTATGACAATCCCCAGCATTGAAGGTGCCAAAAATAAACACTGGCATACACTCCTGATGGGGGTTAAGTTAGTATCTGGAAAGGACTTTTGGGCAATGTGCATCAAAAGCCTTCAAATAACTTCTACTGACCCAGCAATGTCACCTCTAAGAATTTAAAAAAGAAATCAGCCAGCCATGGTGGCTCATGCCTGTAATCATAGCTCTTTGAGAGGCTGAGGCAGGCAGATTGCTTGAGCCCAGGTGTTTGAGAACAGCCTGGGCAACAAGGCAAAACCCTGTCTCTACAAAAAATACAAGAGTGCACATGGTGGCGTGCAACTGTAGTCTCAGCTACTTGATGGGGCTGAGGCAGGTGGATTGCTTGCTGCAGTAAGCCACGTTGGCTCCACTGTACTTCAGCCTGGGTGACAAAGTGAGACAAAAAAAAAAAAAAAAAAAAGGAAGGAAGGAAGGGAGGGAGCGGGGAGGGAGGGATCTAAGATATGAGCCAAGATGGAGAAAACACCCAGCATTTACTGAGTGCGTACTATATATGAGCCCATATGTTAAGGGCTTTACACATGTTCGTATTTAATGCTAAGAAACATCTGTGAAGCAGATGTTATTTATGCCCATTTTATCAATGAAGAAACTGAGGCTTAGAGATCAAGTGAATTACCCAAGACTACATAGCAAGTAAAGATACCACACCCGAGGCTCACCAGTCTGACCCAAGTCCAGGCTCTTAACTGAGAACATAAGGGTGTGTACTGCATTTTACATGTTTGTAATGACAAAAAGATGTGAGACAGAGACCAAATGTTTACCAATGGAGAACTGACTAGGCAAACTAACTGGACATCTCTAAGAGGGACTGCTCTGCTGCCATCAGAAATGACATACATTAGGGAAATGTAAACTAAACCACACCAAAGCACCACTTCACACCCACAAGGATGGCTAGAATTTTTTTAATGGAAACTAGTAAGTACTGGTAAGGATGCAAAGAAACTGGAAGCTCTGTATATTGCAAGTGTAGAGAATGTGAAAAGATGCAGTCACTGTGGAAGATTAGTTTGGCGGTCCTTCTAAAAGGTAAACCTATGACCCAGCAAGTCCACTTGTAGGTATATGTACTCAAACTCAAATTCACGTGCACATACGTTCATGGTAGTACTGCTCACAATAAGAAGGTGCAGACATCCCAAACGCCCATCAACTGATAAATGCATAAACAAATCGTGGGATGGATGTACATATGTAAGGGAATGTCACTCCCAAGAGGAATGAGCTGCTGATACATGTCATAATGTACATAAACCTTGAAAGCATTATGCTAAGTGAAAGAAGCCAGACAGGCAAGGTCACGTATTATATGATTCCATCTATATGAAATAGCACAGGAAATTCCATAGAGAGAGAACACAGATTGGTCATTGTCAGGGATTAGGGGAGGAGGAAATGGGGAGCAATTGCTTAATGGCTATGGAGTTTTCCTTTGAGGTGAAAACATTTTGGAACAAGAGAGAAGCGGTGGTTCTGTAACAATGGGAATACACTAAAGACTACTGAATTGGCAACTTCAAAGGTTATTTTTAATATGTGAATTTCACTTCAATAAATCTTTTTTAAAATGGTAACATGGGATAATAGTGAATAAAACATGCAAATGCTTACAATATATTGCCAGCTGTGAAACAGGAACTATAAAACAGTATTCCAGTACAGTCCCACCTCCTAGACATAAATGAAAAATAGGAAGGGAATATGCTATCATGTTGAAGCAGTAAGCATTGGTTCACTTTGGGTTTTTTACTGAGCATGTGCGAGGGTGCTGGCCCACCCTGCCTGCAGCCCCCAGGCGGCAAGGCCAGCTCTCTCTCCACTGCTGCTCTGTGCTCTCCCCACCCACTGACCGAAGAGAACGTCTTTCCCAAAAGACAGGAGTCAAGAGGTTGAGGCCACAGCTATTGTAAAGAGTGCTGTTGGAGGTCAGTTTCTCTGTCTTGTAGTTGTTCTTGATTTTTGAGTAGGAATGGGAAAGATGAAAAGAGCCCGCCCATGTCAATCGGGCATCTCAATCTCAGAAGCCTAGACTAGGGGACAGCAGGTAAGGTGATGAGTAATGCCAGCAGGGATGAGAAGCGTGGCCCTCTCCAGCCTTCTTTTTTGTTTTGCTTTGTTATTTTGAGACAGTCTCACTCTGTCACCCAGGCTGGAGTGCAGGGGCACAATCATAGCTCACCGCAGCCTCGACTTCCCAGAGCAATTCTCCCACCTCAGGCTCACCAGTAGCTGGGACTACAGGTATGCACCACCATGCCTGGCTAATTTTTGTATTTTTTGGAGAGGCAGGATTTCACCATGTTGCCTAGGCTGGTCTTTAACTCCTGGGCTCAAGTAATCCTCCAACCTAACCCCTTCTAAGTGCTGGGATTCCAAGCATGAGCCCCGTCACATGGCCACTCAGACTTTCATTTCTCCACTTTTTTTATTTCTCCCTGCTAAGAAAAAAACCACAGTACCAACTCAGAGGCTATGGGGTCTCGGCCCCAGAAACTGAGGGAATCTCTCAAACTTTAATGCTTCTATTTTAGCCCCAGCAAGAACACATTGAGACACATTGTCTCATTTCATAAAAGATGTTAGAAATTTAGACTTGTCATGAATTTTCCCACTTTTTAAAGTGTTCAACTGATTCTAACTTAAAAAAAAAATACTGTAGGACTGAACAGAGCATGTCTGTGGGCCACATTCGCATGGGCTACGTTTGCAACCACTGCAGTATGTCAGGTACCCCTTACCTCACAGGTACTGAGAAACGGAAAAGACACCCTATTGGAAGATAGACTCAGCTTGCAAAAACCATGGCAGAGGACAGAGACACTTGCTCAAGGTTTCCTTGGAGCAAAATTCCAAGGAAATTCCAAAATTTAAATATACATTTTTTAAAATCTGTGTTTAAAAGAAATTAAAGAATAATAATTTGATGCTATGTCAGCTAAAGCAATTGAGAAATTGCACATTGACAATATCCTACTGCCTTAGCAGGTCTGAGTTTCTGTGGCTTGTCTACCGTCACACTGGCTACCCTGAATGTTTCCCACTTGGGATGCTCATCCCCAGTTCTCTGCCAGGGTAACTCCCAACCATCTTCACTTCTGGGTTCAGCCATCAACTCCTTCAGGAAGGTGACACTGACATTTCCTTCCTCCCAATTCCAGACTAGGTTAGGCAGCCTATGGTAGCTAAATAATGGTCCCAGAGATATCCACATCCTAATCCCTGGAACCTGCAAATGTTACTTCATATGGCAAAGGGCTATGTAGATGTAAGTTGAGGATGAAGTTAAGTTGAGGTGGGGAGACTATCGTGAATTTTCCAGATGCGACCTAAATGCAATCACATGTATCCTTGTAAAAGGAAGGCAGAGGGAGATGTGACTGCACACAGAAGAGGAGAAGCAATGTGACCACAGAGGCAGAGATAGGAGTGATAGGGCCACAGGCCAAGAAATCCTGGCAGTCACCAGAAACCAGAAGGGGCAAGGAATGGATTTTTCCCTAGAGCCTTTGGAGGAGGCCAGGTAATGCTGACACCCTGGCATCTCCCCAGTGAAACTGAGTTTGGACCTCTGGTCTCTGTAACTAGAAGAGAATATGTGTGTTTAAGCTGCCAAGTTTGCTGTAATTTGTTGCAGCGGCCCTAGAAAACAAATACTCAGCCCTCCCTGTGCTTCCACATTCACCACACGTGCTCCAGCGTGACCACCTTGTGTTAATAACATTTACCAAACACTTAATCCATCCCAAGCACTGCGATATATGAATTAGAGGGAGTATTTTAGTTTCATCACAACCCTGTGAAATGGGTACTATTATTATTTTCCCCATTCTACAGAGTTGGAAGACAAATCTTAATGGGGTTAAGTAATTTCAGCAAGGATCTAGAGCTAATAGGCAGTGGATCCAAGATT